AACGCAACATCTACAGGCTGATCGGGGTCGTCACCGGCCCCTTGTGCTTGGTACTCTTGGGGCATTGAGGAGCCCAGGGAGGAGGACGTGCTGCCCGCGAGAGGAGGACTGCTGCTGCTGGCAGGGGGAGCGGGAGGGCCATCGTTCTCTATACACACGTCCATATCACTACCGGCGCCATCGTCATCTCCTCCGCACTCTTGTAGGAGTAGATGGAGAGACATACGGCGCTTGCGTGGTGATGTTGCTGTGTTGTTGCCATGTTGTGTTGTGGTGTTGTGTCGTGTATTGTGAGATTCAAATTGGGTTTGTAGGTATGTGGTTCTGGAGGCGTTTGGAGTCGTGCAGATTTTATTTGCACGACGGTCGTGCAAATAGCGGTTGCTCAAGTACTGGGGCATTAACGCGCCCGTCCCGGAACAACAATTTCAAGACAGCCCACCAGCGGGTTAGCACAGGCAGGCAGGGTTGATGAGACCATGGTGAGTACTCTACATAAGGTGTCGCATTAGCTATCCGACGTCCGTCCGCGAATGCTGTCCCAACAGCGATGAGAAGAAAATCTGCGGGCGGGCTACAAGGCCTGTTAGACACCGTGGCGAGAGAGTACCAGGAGGCGGGCTGGGAGTCGCCGGCTAGTCCCGAGGATGAAGAGCGACCTCGCCGCCCGGGCCCCGCGGTGCCTTCACATCAGCCCGATCGCCGTCGTGTCGAAGAGAGGATAACCCAAAGCCCCGCCTCCTCTGGCGCCTCGGATCCGGAGGAGAACAGAGTCGATTTCTCTCCGACCAATCGGAGCTCCAGCTTCGATATCAAGCGCCGCCGGAACGACGCCGGGGGCACGACGTCTTCAAGAAAGCGACGGCTACTTTCATCATCACAGCGCGATGATGATATAACAGCAGGCGAGCTGTCAACAACTCCAAGGTTGGACCCCGGTGCGCCAGAGGGAGAAGGAGGAGTGTCGCCTGCTGCCAACAGTGGCGGAGAAGATCAGGAAGCTGGAACCGACGACGGGAGAAGAAAAACGGGTACGAGCAACGCTTTCCCCGTGCTGTTAATTGGTTCCGTTTGCCCTCTTCCCGCGATCCTCCACTTGCGCCGGTACCGCCGCAGTGCTTTAACCAGTCGATGTTTGTGTTTACAGCAGCTATTCAATAAAGTTGATGTATGTGCGCATCCCCCTAAGTAATTTTTAATTGTTCCCGTCGCTAAAGTTTGCGCAGATGAAAGATGACGGAAGACTATGCATACGTAAAAAGTTACACACACAATCGATGAGGTAGCTTCATGCGCAAGAGGGGTACAGTCGACCCCGCTTTAAGGACGCACATGGTTTTCGTCCGTAAAGCGGGGTTGCGTGCTTAAAATTCAAGGGACGATAGCTCACCATTCCCGGGGCCAACGGAGGCATGCCATACCTCAAACTACGCGTAATTTGCTATGGGGATGGTACGTACTATCAGCATCGCCCAGACGACTGGCAACCGTTTGTTGACGTCGAACGTATTTACAATACTTGAAATGAGTTGTACAGCATTCAGGGACGTGTTGAAAACAACGACAGCACACCAGTTTGTACTTGGCCAACTAATGTACTGCATAGCCGGCAGCGGAAGAAGGAGGAAAGTCCAAGTAGACATACATTTACATTTTAGCGAGCGTAATTCGGCGTCGCACCGAGGAACACCAGTACATGTCACTGTCCCGGCGGAGACCAAAAGCTACCCTGATGGCTTTCGTTCCACATATATATCGCGAAGAGTTCCCTGAACCTCCCCCCGCGGCTTGGCTCTACGGCTCTGTTGGGTTTCATGAGTAAACGAATGAACGGTCTTCGAAAGAAGGTACTGCGTCTCACGGTACTCGCCACCCCTTCCCTTCGCGTACAAATACAGATAGCGCCCGCAGTTAAGAAAAATTCTGTTAAAAAAAAGGCTCAACTTTGTATTAAAAATAAGAAAAAAGAGCTATAAGAAACATAGCTCAATCTCGGCCACAACGTAAGAAACGCCCCAATAAGAAACATGACGGTGCGATACCCCCATGACATCAGAACTCTGCGGTGCTCCCAACCCCCTCCGAAGCTGAACAGAAGCACATTTTTTTTTGCAAGGGGCAGAGGAGCCCCCCCCCCCCCCCCCCCCCCCCCCCCCCCCCCNCTCCGCTGTTGTACGGGTTTGATGGCACTCTCCACCACCTCTCTTGAGGGCTTGATGATGTGGATTGTCCTCAGAGATCAAAAGACAGAAAAAAGAAAATACGAAGTACTTGTTGTAGTCTGAGGAACAAGAGAATCGGGAGGGTGCGACAGTCCGAAGAAAGAAGAAATGTCATTTACGAAATGGACGACTTGGGCCGGTACTTCGACCGAAAAGAAGAGATTGGTGAGGCTCGAACCGATTTTGACGTTTCGTAACTGCGGGCGCTATCTGTAGGATCGAACGTCCTCCGAGCGAGAGATAACCTCGCCCTCGGTGAGGGACGAGGTTATGCACGACTCTTTTTTTGGCGGCATCAGGTGGACCGCCGGTAGATGGGAGGAATCTATCCATACCCACACCCAGTTGCAGCTGCAGCAGCAGACCGCTCGCTACTTCTGCTGTCTGTGCGTCGCTACTTGTGCACTCACTGTGGTGCGTGGTTCGTGCAAAGAGCGGCCCGCAGGTCCGCAGGACACAAAAGAGGGGGGTACGCGGCAGAAAAATGGGGGTACCGCATTATCGTATATTCTGCCGGGGCCCCTGTGCTGAGCAAAACAATTTCCCTTTTAGCGGGGAGTTTTCTTAACGCGAGCGTCTTTGAAGCGGTGTCGACTGTATCCTCAGAGCAGCGTGGGTGACGTCTTCTTACAGCGGTACAGGCAAACGAGATAAAATCGACATTTAGATTTCGACGAAGCGTATCGTGTCGGGAGGACATGAGTACGAGCCGAAGTGAGAGCTCCGGTGCTTTACAGCATGCATACCTGCCATTAGTTAATGTTACTGCCGGCACTGTCTCTCTTCTCTCCTCATCCCGTCGCTCCCGTGGTTATTCTATATCGGGAACCTCCAATGACGTTTCTGTGATGTACAGTCGGGACGGCGATTTTTTTCGCAACGATTTTGGAGTGTAATTTCGGAATTTCCCGCCGGCGGGAAATTGAGGCTAGTGGTCCATATGCATACGTCCCTATATTTGTGTTACCTCTCCTTTCTTCCGTTGAGCGCGATTTGCTTTCTTTTGTGGTGATATGTGGGACAAAGGTTTTGTTAAGAGATACCGACCGGCGGGAAGAGTCAGTGTATCACCCATGTTGGAAGAATTTAGTTTGCCTCTTCAGCATGTTCTTAGAGATCGAGTAAACGTATTTTGGACCAAGCAAACCACGCGTTTGGTGAACCAAGCAAACCACGCGTTTGGTGAACCAAGCAAACCACGCGTGGGTGAGGGGGGGGGGTCCGGTGGGGGGTTTACTCCCCCCCCGCCACTGGTGGTGGACCAAGCAAAGCACTGACTGCTAGACTGCTGCTGTTGCTGTGTGCACACGTCACGTACACATCACCTCATCAAACGAATGTTCAACCACACATCATTGCCATACAGGTTGCCAGCTACTGCTGCTATTGCACGTGTTTGTATCTCACAGCTGTCTGTGTACATCTTTCGCTGTGTCCTGTATCTTTCTGTCTGTATCCAGCGGCTACGGCATGATCATCTCAGTGGTCACACCGCATGCATTCATGGCACGGAGCCTCTGCATACCCCAGACTTACAAATTATGTAAACTAGGGGTGAGGGGGGGGGGCAACACCTCCGGACATATATCTCGCTTCTTTGTGCCCTGGACTGCGGGAGGCGCGTCCCCGGAAAACCAAAACGCCAAACTACTACACAGCAGCAGACTACACACACACTCAGCAGTAGCATAGCAACACAGCAGCCAACCCACACAAGTACACAACAGCATGCTGCTGGGTTGCATCAAGCAGCACGGGGTTGCCAGCGCAGCAACCAGTGTACTTCTATTCAGTTCGTAGCAGCTACTTGCCTGTGCTTCGGTTAGGAACCGCAGAGCAGCGTGGATCTACCCTCTCCCACGCATTACATACGGCATCGTCATCACAGCAGTTGCTGCACGTATTTCTCTGTCTCTCTCTCTACGTGCTCGAATTCACGCTGCCTCTCTCGATTGAACCAAACTGCTGCTGGGGCACGGAACAACTGCATACCCTTTGTTCTACAAAGTCTTCAAACCGGGCGGGGGGGGGGGGCG